ATGGCACTATCACGCATATGAGGTGCATGTCGCCCACCCCCTTTTGCGTGAAATCTTGGTGCTTGTGTCCAGGGGGCAAGATCCAGCATGTGGCACCCGCAGACAAGGTCAATAAAAATGTCGGCCATTACGCTCATTCCTGGCACCAGACAGCTAACCGGCTTGGACAAATGGCTAGGGCCTGGGAATGGGAGTAGAGAGTGAGGTCGACAACTCAGCCCTTTTTTTCTCACTTTAAACAACCTGACGCGCTTGAAGCTATCACGATGCGTTAAAAGCCGTGGCTTGGAAGGTTTGCCGATGACGTTCAGCTCTGGCGAGTCACTGAGGGCCTTGGTGGCCAGAAGGCTCTTCAAGGTAACCTGCATGGACTGTAAACGTCGTCCGCCGTTCTAGATTTTTATGTAAAAAATCGTACCGTCCCGCACCTACGTCCAGCTAACTGCCACCCGAACGGGAGTATGAGGGCTATTACCTAAAAGGCATTCAACTTCCCAAAGAATCTCTGCAGAGGGATCTTGGTGCTTTGGTACAGGGCAGCCTAAAATTGTCATTTTAATGCCACCAGAATACTGTACGCTACCAAAAGTACGTTTATATCGTTAATAAAGACCTTTTTGACAAGGCGTATTGCACTTTCATTCGATATCACCTAGAATATGGCATACGGGAGTGGCCGCAATGGCTCGCGAAGGACCTAATGCGACTCGAAAAAGTGCAACATCGCACAACTATGCAAACAAAAGGCCTAAAATGCCGATCACACACAGAAAGACCAGAGTGCGTTAATCTATTCCCTCAGTTTTACTGGTAGCAAGGGTGTGACCTTATTTAAGTCTATAAAATAATACGTGGCCTCTAACAAGAGCTGCATTCTTGAACATGTCTCAATGGCAATTTTCACCTCGTTTCTGTGGACAATCGATGTACGCACGAAAATATGCAGGCCAAACATTCACTCCGAGTTCTTCACGCAACGGGTAGTAGAACAAGAGAATTTTCTACCCTAATCAATTGCGAAGGAGATGTCCTGAAGCTCCTTAAGAAACGCTTGGATGATTATATGTGGCCCCTGTTTTCCCTGTACACTCTGAACCTGGATTAGAAATCATGCCAACTACAAACTGATGTTTTTCAAACAGTGTTATTTAAATTATGTGACGAATATTTTGACGCTGACATTTTTTCAGAATGCGTGTACAGTTGTATGTAGCATCCCAGTATGTACACAATAGAGCTTTTAAGGGCTTTGCCATTACCCTCGCTAAATAAACTTAGACATGCTTCGCCTTGACTTTTTTAGGAGGCCATATCAACGAGATGACTATATTTTCTGAGTCTGCAATCAAAAGGTTATCTCGCCGAGTCACTGTCTTTGCTAGTCCCTGGTTTAGCGCGCTTTAAGCCGTTACCTTGGACCGAAAGATGTCGCCTTCATGTGCATTTGAAAATGTCACAATCGTATGACTCCCAAAATATGGCTGTCGAGTACTGACATTAAACTTGAGTTTTCGTTAATGAATTTGCGTCTCAACGTTACTGTGGAATTCACTTGGGACATAACATTAATGACCTACAAGTAGGTTGTTCGCCTTCACTAGGTAGTTTTTTTTCGGTACGACAGCAGCACGCCCTCGTTTGAGGACTTGATAATGAGGGCCTTGTGTCATGCGTTCAGCACAGTGTCCCACTCGCTCCTGTGAGGTACTTCACGTGGTACGCGAAGCACGGGAAATTACAGGATTTGATATCATGCGAGGTTAGGAGTTTTCTCCATCGTATCCAAATGATCGAGGCCAGACTCTATTGGTATAAATATTTTTTTGGATTTGGTATCCACCTTGTCCTATGATCCTGCCAACACATGACACCACCCTGCTGGCGTGGCCAAGCGCGGATAGACGTGGCCATGGCTACGCCAAATCTAGAAAACTTTTAAGGAGCATTTTCTTCGTTTAAATGAAGCTTTTTAAGTTTACCTACGATACATTTGCGTAAACATACGTTAATTCGCCCGAGAGTTCCCTGAGGCCCACACTTCTTGGGCGATTATAGTGTACTTAGACAAACTGATTAGGGCGTTTTTGTTTAAGTGAGCCTCTTGTACACGAGTTATCTGCTGCTCTGTCTGGCGTGGTTGTGGTGGCCGATTGTTTTAAACGGAAGTTTTCTTTCCTCTCCCGCGTTTCGGAATCCGTGGTCACACGAACACTAATCAACGCCTACCGCCGCGCCAGCCCGCTTAGTCCCTGTTACCGTTTATTATTCCCAGATATGGCCGTTTTGATACTCTTATTTCTATTTTTTTGTATGGAGACGTTTAATTTACGCAGAGTACTGTCTTGCCGTGTCATTCCATTATCCCGTGCATTTTACTGACTTGTTAATATTCGCGTATTCTGTTGCCTATTATCAGCATTATATCTGCTTGAGTTTATTTTATCCTCTATTCTAGTCACATTTCTATAATAAATCATATCCTATCTGTTCACTTATCTGCGACCATGTCTAAGCCGCCCTTGTCCTTTGCCAGTGTGTACGAAGACGTAACGCAACTTTTAGGAAAAATAAGTCTGACTGCCCGACCGATAGAGCCTAAACCCCTCTGCCCAGCATTTGGTGCCTACGAGCCCATACACGCGTTACCCTACTCGACTGCTACATGGTTGCTGCAGTTTCATGATCGACCGAACGCTCTTGACAAACTGGTAGGTCATTCCGCGTATATTTAGTGTCTGTCGCGCCTTTATGGTCTTACACACGCCATTGATAATGCATTTTATGTTATGCAAGTCGGAAGTAGGTTTAGTAACTGAATAGCAAGTCCAATCACACAGTAAGTGTCTGAAATACAGTTAAATTTTTTGTGCTGTTTTTTTTGTCCACTATTTGAAGCAATCATGAGGCGCAAATATTTAGGCTTTATTCGGGGCACAATCCACACGCGGATTGCACCTGATAAGATGGCATATTATGCGCGGATAAATGAGCAGTCCATTCCCTCTAGGTCGCGTGGTAAATCAATCACCGGAATTAAAAATGCCCGAACTAGACCCACAAGTGTATACGGTTAGGCAGATGCCGGACTCAGACGATGAGAACGACCCACGGTGCCGTCCGAGGCAGCTACGTGGCTGGTAAACACCACGCAGAATACCGCGTTAAGCATACTTATCGCCCGTAATTCTTAGGCCAAGAAGGGACGAACAGATACTGCACATCTCTCTGTCAAGTCTGTTGAGTCAATCTTCGCCATCGATTTCATACTGATAACTGCATTTTATTCCGTATTACTCAAGACTGTCGGCGGAAATGCCGGCGCCTGTGCCAGTGTCAGCCGCGCAACCGGTATGTTACCAGCAGGTGCAGACGGGCATTACCGACAGGAAAGTTCAGTTAACGTCCCTTGAGTAAGACCGCTGACAATCTCTTTGACAGTCTATTATGAATAGAGTCGACTACCTGGCCAAGCTAGTGGTTGACCTCAACAACAGTATGCAGCAACTGCAGGCAACGATGAAGGATGTTGTCAGTACGTTGTATATATTTGTATAACTGCTTTCAGATCAAACAACTGGCAGTGGTAGGGGACAAATAGGAGAGATTTCATTCGAAATCCCCTGACTGCAATAATCGATCCGCAACTTTGTTCCCCCTTCTGCTGAAGGGGCGGATCCAAGGACAAGCGGTCGTTCTTTGACGTCCGTTGTTTGCAATCCTCACGGGAAGGTCCACTTTTTGCTTATTGGCACCAACAGATTCCATTGGCCAAAATCTCCTCTTTAGTGACTGTGACATTTAGGCAGTTAGACAAACGACGATTAAATTGGTTCCATGGGTCGAAGGACCGGTATAGAGGCGGTCGAGACGCAAGCGCAGCATCCACACCGTATGGCATTGTGCTTTGAATTATTGCCTACATGTGTTCAGTTCCAAGGGGTCCCCACCGACGGCATCGCATGTCCACAACTTTCCCCTCCAATGGAAACAGTTAGCTGAAAAAACTGCTGCTTACGCACTTCATGATATTTCACTCTCTCATAATGTTATTATAATTATTGTACGGTACACTGCCAATTCCATGGAAGAGGATTACCTGAGGTCTGGCATTTCCAGTAATAGTAAATCCGCCTACCCATATTCGGAGACTGAAAAGTGAAACGCACAACTCACTTTGCCTGGCCCCCGTTGACCAGCCGTTGCGCTGCATCAGACTCGCATTTCACTGTGACCAGTGTCGAGCCCGCACTCGATGACCGCTGAGATAGTTAGTGGCCCTAATTAGTTCGCGCCGTTATTTTTTGCTGTCAAGTTGGTCCGAAAAACCAAACAGGGACAAGCAAATTAATGTATCTGAGGCCATCCGAAATTCTTTGCACCCGTCTGGCGATTGTGGGCCAAGACGATTACTTTTTAGGACGGGTGCAAAAACGCCCGGATGTCCACCGACAGCTCAATCAGCAACCTCACTAATTAGCCACAGGTCATTTGAGTTTTTCTGGGTTTTCTTTGTCCAGACAAGTAACGGTGTAGGCAGTAATGAAGACATGTTCGTTAGGCAGCATCGCCAAAATTATGTATGCAGAACAGAAGGTTAGTTGTGAACAGGACGTGTACTGAGTACAAGATACAGCAAATTGAGGAGACTTGTGGAAACGGTCGGGTATATGGCAAGGGGGAATGTCATAGGCTACTGAGCGGCCAATTAGCACAAAGGAGGTGTGAAAGGGGTACATGACCTTGGTCGTTCGCTTGTCACGCACATGTGGCATGATGTCTTGACAGTCCGGGCAACATACACTTCGTGCCTCCACTCTCAAGTGGAGAGCATGGGGTGGAGGGAGACAACAGTAAAGGTACTAGTAGATTGTTAAACAATGTTCTTATGGAATTCGTCCTGAAAACGTGGGACGGGTTTGCGGAATCGGGTCGATCTTCTCACAGCGAAATCGTTGACTTCTGCGCCGCTTTGTAGAGTCACTCGTTTCTCTGCCCCTAAGTTAGTGCTGGGCAGGGTAGTAGTAGTAGTAGTAGTAGGAGGAGGAGGAGGAGGAGGAGGAGGAGGAGGAGGAGGAGAAGGAGGAGGAGGAGGAGGAACATACGCCTCGGTCGGTGGCGTAGTGTTCTGTGCATGCAGTAGGTGTGCAGTCCTCGGGACGCCAGGATCCCTATCAAGGGTTGCTGGCAGTTCGAACTCCCCGATTTCTCTACTTACTGTGTCCGTTTGGCTGTGAAGTTGGTCCAGATGTCGACGCACAATTCTTCCATCTTCTAACGCTAATTCCACTATTTGCGCCTCGCTTGTTCGAACTACTGCTGGACACCAGTTCGTCTCGTGTTCTAGTCGCGTGTAGACACTTTCTTTAGGTGTGACGACTCGTAGTCGGGCGTTCACATTATCTCGTTCTTTCATCTTCGTCTGTTTTTCATTGACTCAATCATGCGTTGATGGCTTAAGCGGCTCGATCCGTGTACGCAACTGCCGCTTCAAGATCAGTTCTGCAGGCGGGGAATCGGTTGGGTCGTTTGGTGTTATGTAATAGCTAAACAAAAGGCATGAAAACTTGGTGGCCAAGTCCGCTTCCGTCTGTTTGGCTAGTCCGTGCTTCATTTCTGGACTGCGCGCTCTGCGAAACCATTGGAATCACCGTGGTACAGGGAAGTAGTTAAATGCCTTATTCCGTTTTCCTCCATGAATTCTTTAAACTGTGCACTAGTAAAGGCCGGGCTATTATCTGAAATGACTATTCCAGGTATCCCAAAAGGGGAAAAAAACAGTTTGCAACCTGTCAATTGTAGCCAATGAAGAAAAGCGATTTCCTGTCGGAATTGCATCAGTCCATTTAATGTGGGCGTCAACCGCCACCAAGACGATATGGCCTTGGAATGGCCCAAAATAATCGACGTGTGCCCTCTTCCACGGCGAGTTGCGCCAGGCCCGAAGCTTCAGAGGCACCTTCGGTAAGGTTTTCTGTGTTATTTGGCACACGTGGCATGCTTTCACCACATTTTCGATATCTACGTCAATTTTGGACCACTAAACATATCTGCGGGCGAGAGCTTTCATTTTTACTGCACCAGGATGAGCATTAAGCAGGTCTCTGAGGATGGCCGTCGTGGTGGCGCAACCACATGATTGCCCCTCAGTATGCATCTGTGTTGTAGACTCAACTCGTTCTGACGGCTGAATAATGGTTGAAAATCAGAGGTAGAGGACGGCCAGCCAGATTGCAAGGCTCTTTTTACCCGAATTACGAGAGGGTCTCTCGATGTACACGCCGAATTTGTTGACAGGCTACAGGTGCACTGACTAGGTTCTACAAAAGATTCAAGGTCTCAAAAGCAGGTTCCCCGTTAACGCCATCATCCACAATGGGTGCCTACTCAAGGCGTCAGCCACTACGTTTGCAATTTCCGTAACGCATTTCATTGCATATGTGTAAGCAGAGAGAATGAGTGCCTATCGTTGCGTTCTCGGCGATGACATCTATTGTACCCCTCGTTTTTCTCCAAGCAAACCTACGAGGGGTTTGTGATCAGTGTGAGTCCCGAAGGGTCGTCCGAAAAGATGCTGGTGGAAGCTATGTAGGCCAAACATTATTGCTAAGACCTCTTTATCTAGTTGCGAATAGTTGGTTTCCGCCAATGACATGGTTCTTGATACAAAAGCAATCGGCTTCTCCGCACCATAAGACGTTCGGTGCATGAGAACTGCACCTACGCCGTACGGAGACAAATCAAATTTCAGTATAATAGGCCTTTTGAGGTCACAATGAACCAGGGAAAATGAGGGGGTAAGAGCCGCCCTTGCCTGTTCAAAAGTACTGTGGCCGACCTCCGATCAGTTTCGGCAACGATTCTTTTCAAGTGGTCGATAAAGAGACTTTAGAATAGTAGCCGATTGATTCATAAAGCGACTAAAGTGGGTGACCAACCCCAGGAATGAACGCACTGGACCATTATTGTTGGGGCGCGATGTCATCTTGAAAGCCTTGAGCTTATGCTCGGATGGATGGAGCCCGTTTTTATCCACCCAGAAGCCCAGGTATTCCACCGAGTCGGCAAGGAAGGTGCACTTATCTTCCCTGAGTTTAAAACCTGCGTCTTCTAACTGTCCTAACACGATGTTTAGTGTCCCCAGATGACTATGTTCAGATGGGCCGGTGACTAATGTATTGTCATGATATGCGCAAATATGAGGTACAGTGCGTGACCTAACTCATGAAATGTGTCGAAATTTACGAATGCATGTCACTCACTCGCAAACCGACACCACTTCATGAGTCAAATGTATATTTTAATTAAGTACAAGTTTAAGAGAATTAAAAACATAAATGAAACGTTATAGGCAGTGTTGCGTTGTACAGAAATGCTAATTTTTTTAAAGCGCAATATCCCGAAAACGTCAGAAATGGCTCTAATTTAGTAAACTTCCTTTTTAGATGTACAGAATGTATTCTCATACCAAACACGTAGTACATAGGAAAGTAGACATAAAATCACGCCTAATAGCAGCGTTTCAGTGAAGCTTACATCTAAATATCGTTTAATAATTAGTGTGATTTCATATATGACGGTTTGTCAACTGCCTACAGTCTGGGTGTAGATTCCAAAACAGTTTTCCAGTGTTTCATAACTTCATCCACGATTTAAAGTTAAATGAGATGGAGTTGAACATGAGAAGCTGGATTTTGCTTGATTTCGCCGATAGGGGCTTCGTAGGATCAAAAGTTTTCATAAGGTGACATGTCATGAGGCCGGTCGGTACCTAAAAAATTAAATAGAACTGACAGGCGTCATCGTACACATACCACTTTTCTCCCGTTAAATTAATAAATACTTTTCTTTCGTTTTTGATTACGTCGAGTTTCAGATCGGCCTCGAATTATTACTGTATACTTGATGATTTTCAGTGTTTTCACTTGTTCTATTGAAGGATGTGGATGATCAAACAAAATGCGCCGCCTTAAAGGCATCCAAACATTCTCTTATCAGTTTCCGCTATCATATTTCATGAGATAGGTCACGTATTGTACATTCTTCACGAGGTTATCAATCAAACATCGAAGTAAACAGGGAGCAGAACTTACTCCCAATGGTAGTCTTTTGTATCGAAACAAACCCCGATGCGTATTGATGGTGGTGACGTCTCAGGATTCAGTATCTAGGACGACTTGGTTGTAAGCATGCTTCAGGTCCACATTCATAAATTGATGACCACTTGAGAGAGATGTATAGAGATCCTCGATGAGCGGGAGAGGATAAGGGTTCACTTTAGTCCCTGAGTTGATCGCCAGCTTGTAGTCGCCACAGTTACGCACAGAACTATCGGATTTAAGAACAGGAACTATTGGGGCTGTTCATTTCTAATATTGCACGGGCTCGATAATGCCCGCTTTCTGTAGTCGACGCAGCACTTCTTCGACCTTTGGTGCGACCGAATAGAGCACTGAACGAGCTTTGAAGAACCGGGTCCGAAAATCTGACTGAAACTGGAACTAAACAGGCGGACCGCGGTAGTGGGTAGCAAAATCTTCGCAAAATAGTTCCTTATGATTTAGCCAAGTGGAATCTAAAGCCGGATTCACCCCAGTTCGATGTGCATAGAACAGCACAGAAAACCCCCATTTAATCCAATTCCGTCCGAGGAGACTAGGTTACTGACAGCTGAGCCGGTGTCGATTTCAAACTTCGCGGGATGGCTATCAACCGGATTCGTAAGGATGTACGGTGATTTGAGTGGCGCGTTGGTCAAAAACATTTGGAGTATTGCCTCACCATCCCCAACTAGATAAGGGTAGGTCGCATGCGCGTTAGTGTTCGTCCGTCTTTTGGAGAAACACACTCGTTCGATGTGGCCGATTTTCTTGTAAAACTGGCATACCATTTTCTGGTGTCTGCAGTCTGACCAACGGATATAATGTTGACCCCAACGGTATCAAGATGATAGTTGTTTTGAGGGAGCTGATGGTTGCTGTTTATGTGAAGGCACAGCAGTGTTGAACAGGGAGACACCCACTTCAGATTCCAGGGAAGGTAGCACTTCATCGGTTGACTGATCCAGATGCTGAAGATTTTGCCTTAGGCGCTCCTGATGACTGGTGGTATCACAGGCTTTCTTCCATGACAAATTCCTCTTCTCTGCTGAGAGGTTTTCACGAACCCTTTCAGCGCACAGAGCAACGATCAACTGCTGAACGAGCATTACGTGCTCGAAGTTGTCTGCCCTGATCTCCTTATACCTACAGTCTTGGATGACCAGAGTCAAATTCGTAATAAAATAACAGACAAATTGATTGGACCCTTGACTCATTTGACAAAATCAATAGTGACCGAGGAAGACGTTGTCTTTTCCTGCCCACGCTGATTCGAATTTTGTGAAGGCTGTTTGGAGATCTGTAGCCTCTTCTAAGTTAAGGGCATCGGAATAACGTTGTCCTACTTCTCCGAGATTCGCACGGAGGAGTTCCAATTTAGACGGTGTTAGGAGTGCCTGCACTCTCAAAAAACAAGAGCTAACCAATCACTGTAGACCACGTGCGTTTCCTCTCTCCACAGCGCAGTCAACTTAATCGGACGCGTCTCCATTGGCTACTCCCCTCTTCCTGAAGGTCATTGGGCTGAATTCCGGCGAACCACAGTAGGGTGTTATAAACATGCGTCACCTTTCAGCTATTCGCGACTTGCAGTGTTTTTTCTAATACACTATCCGTGGCCGGCCGTGTTTTCTTACCTGCTACTTTGGTATTGGGGACAAGAGTCGAGTGCGTATACGCTCCGCGGAATTGCAAGTGCCAGGCGGGTCATAACAGGTGGTTGTCTAGTACAATCGTGAATGACAAAAGCGGAGGTAGCTCAATGTTGTCCTTAAATACCTTCCTTCAGTGCAACTACAAGTCATTTGAGGGTTTCTGTATTTTCTTTGTCCAGACAAGTAACGGTGTAGGCAGTAATGAAGACATGTTCGTTAGGCAGCGTCGCCAATATTAGGTATGCAGAACAGAAGATTAGTTGTGAACAGGACGTGTACTGAGTACGAGATACAGCAAAAGTGAGGAGGCTTGTGGAGACGGCCGGGTATATGGCAAGGGGGAATGTCATAGGCTACTGAACGGCCAATTAGCACAAAGGGTGTGTGAAAGGGGGTACATGACCTTGGTCGTTCGCTTGTCACGCGCATGTGGCATGATGTCCTGACAATCCGGACAGCATACGCTCAATCTTTATCTGGCCGTCTCTGATGGAAGCCTCTTTTTACATGCAACCTTAATATCGCAATTCCCCTGCCGTCATATTTATCTAGTTCTTCAATGACATCAGCGTCACATATGTTTTCCCACAGACCTTTTTCTTAGAACCGCAAATAGCCAGTGGAATTTGCCCGTTTATTGGTACAGAGGCCTTTTAGATTCCCATGAAAATCTAACCCCTTTATGTGTATTTTTCACACTGATTTCCTTCACTTACACACACCCAATAAACCTTTGTCTCCTACCACTGTTTGTCCACTTTCCTATGTTGCATAATAGAGTTAACGATAGCTCAGCTGTCCGGTTAGGCCCCTATATCGGCTAACGATCACTGGCTTGCCTTCGCCGAGGCTGCAGTGTTTTCATTACCCGCTTAAGGGTGCTGCGATATTCTACCGCTTAAAATAAATGCACTGGCGAATACAAAACCAAGGCCATATAATGGTGGAATGGATAAGGAATGGAGGGCGTCGCCACGCAGTTTTATTGGATGGTATGTGCCAAATCTAGCTGTCGCGTCGAATGCCACTTGGTAGTCACGTCAGACAGCCACGTCTGAACTCCTCATGGCTTCATCCACACACGGTGGTTACTCGCAGCAAGCCGATGTTGGTGCTGTCGGGTGAGGTAATAGACTGAAAGAACCACATTCTTCTGCGAAATGGCGCATAACAGTTTATCTTTTCCGGAATACGCTGAGCATACTGCTTCATGGAACGTCCAATTCACTACGATGCCTTGTATCGCACATTTTTGTGGTCTCTTTCGTTCTTTTTTTTACCGAACTTTTTCACGACGTCAGGACAGTCATATTCTCTCAACCCCTCCTTTGATAGTACTTATGAAACCCCGTGTGACAACCTTCCGAAAGCACGAGAATTATTCTTCAACTCCGTTTTTGCTGCAAGTTCTGGCGAGATCTACATTGATAGATGGACTATTTTCGAAGCAACCGCACTAAAGCCGAATGCGTGTGTACGTCGAGGCTTTGCGAAGAACAAAAATAAACACAGTTCTGCTGATCAGAGCATGGGTTGCATAAAAAAGCGCTGACACATCTGAGACGGAGAGTTGCAGGCGGAAGTGAAGAAGGGACAGGTGTGGTTGCTTTATTGAGATATCCACTCTCTAGACGTCGTTGAAGACGAATGAGCACCGAATAAGGATAACACACAATTTCACGTCGCAGATCTTTCTACGGAAATGGCGACAAGACCAACGTTGACGGGACTAAAGTAGTTGCGACAGATGTCAGTCACGTGGATATTAAACATCCCGTGCAGCGTCTTCCCGTGTCGCAATCCAAATTCAAATACTGACATCGATCCTTTATCCTTATCTCCTGAACTCCGTTTGGTGGAAGAAATTATTCATGCAACTATCACAAGGGTGAAACCAATTATGTAATGACAAAAAGTACCCAGATAGCTGTCACGTTTCAGATACGTACCTACCACAAAATATGCAATATCAGCCATCAATGACACTGACGTGGCTGGCCAGCGAATTAACGCCCCAATTATGAATATCGGCGGATAGTGTACAAGCTATTAATTTTAGTTATCACATGGTTGCACATTGTTGGCATCGCTTAACCGAACCGATTCTTTTACCCGCAATAACTTTGCCCGTCGTTACCTTTGTTTATGAGTCGCAATATGACCGCAAAACGCCAGGCGACTAGAGTCCCTTTCACAATGATCGAATACTTCTCTCCTGACATTTAGACACTCACATAAGTACGCGGTTTTTACCGATCACTAGGATCTTATTTTCCTATCAAACGCACTATGTACGAACTAAAGATAGTAGAATACTAACGCGTCGACCACGCATACGGCATAATAAAAGGGATCATAAGAACGAATAGGTGTCCTGTGAATCAGAAAAACCCTGGGTACGCTTTGAGTTCCCAACCGTGATATCCACGAACTACCCATTGTAGCAGCACCTGCGAGTTCTTCTGATATTCGGCTGCTACCATATTTGCAGACTCGTTGACCTTAGCAAACAAACAGACACAAAAATTTCCCAAATTAAAATGTTTCTCTATTTGTTTATCCGCATCCATAAAATACCGCCTCTTCAATTTCACCACCCGTAGTTCATTTTCCCTGCACCTGCCCTTAGTCGACGCTATGAGTTTGACTGGCAAAATATGTTTTGTTGTTGGAGCCAGTACAGGAATCGGAAGGGAGACCGCATTAAAACTTGGGCGAGAGGGAGCCACGGTCATTTGTGCATCCCGCAGGAAGCACCTTCTGGAATCGTTGGCCGAAGAAATAGGGCAAAAGTGTCATCCTGTCTGCATGGATGTCCGGAACCATTCTGAGGTACACGTACTTGCTTAATAATTAATCGTGAAGGTCGAAGCCTCGCTTAGTCGGGTTTTGGGAGAATTCGGCAAAATAGATGTACTTGTATATTGTGCTGGAATTTTTACATACTCGCTCGTTAAGAACAAGTTTTTTGACTGCTGGAAGGAGATGATAGCAACCAACTGTCAGGCAAGTTAACCTTAACTCGCGACGCATACGTTTATAGGGCCTCATAGACGTTGTTAGCATTGTTTTGGCTGATATGCTCGAGAAGGATTCTGCTGGCCACATAATTGTTGTGAGCTCAGATGCTGGGCGTGCTCCTTTCCCAGGACTGTCTGTTTACACTGGCACGAAATTTTTCACTGAGGGCTTTTTGCGGTCGCTAAGGCTCGAGTGCAAGGAGTCGAAAATTCGGATTACCTCGATTCAGCCAGGAGGTGTTGCAACTCCAGGACAGCAGTGGACAACTGATACCATGGCAAGTTTTCCAACATCTTTCATTCCACTGAAGCCATCTGTGACATCTTTCGCCCACCAATTAAAATATATTTAGCATACGAATCCAGAAATTATCATTTTCGTCTGGCACTGTTTACAGACGGTTTCTGACTTTGGCTCAGCTTTATTTTATTCGGTGAACTCTTTTCCTTTTACTCAGAGTAAGCGCAATTTTAACCGAACTGGCCGCACTTTTTTATTTATTTGATACTAGTAGGAAACTTGTAGTTCTGGAGACCACCTTCATTCAAACCCTAATTGTTGCGGAAAATGGCGATGTAAACTCGGTATACAAAAATGCATAGTTAGCAACCACGGTATTTACCAAGATCCTCTCGGTTTACAATAATTAAACGTTTTCAATACTCCTACCCGATTCATCTTTACTGTGTACTGTGAACTTCTTCGTGCCGTCCTTCAAAAGGTGCCCATGTTTTGACTTCAGCCGAAAATCTCCTGAAGAAACTTGTCCCTGTGGAAATGTTCTTGTACCTCCCGCGCTTAAAAACAAGTCTATGGAATTGTGAAATGTCACAACTGCCCACAGTTTGCGCAATACTGAACTATTTGAGAAATTTTTGCCTCTAAATATCCATATCAAGCGATCGTTTCGCAAATTCTACTCTATCTATGCCCTTTAAATGCTAAGAATCTCCTTCGACACTGTTTGATAAGTGGAGCCACAACCTAGACTACAAACTTTCGAACCAGATGTCTGTTTTTCAATAATTCTGGCGTCATTTAGTGAAAAGTCACATGCATGGAATCTTATTAATTTCCGTAATGGGGTTTGTGCCCATGTCTTATTGTCTTGAGTGTTGAAATCACCGATCAGTTAATAAACGGATTTCGAGAGTTAAGAACTGAGGAAGAGCGTATGTACCAAGCAGTGTTTAACCTCGACAATAAACCGCAGCATATGACGTCTCCGGCTGACAGAAAGGTAGGCTCCGAATGCACTATTGGACCCCTGCTTATTTCCTTCCATCTTTAGTACGATCTTCTATTAATTAAGCTTTTCTAGCAGAGATATTAAGCGCCGACTACTTCAAATTGATAGGCTATCAGCCTTATATTCTGCCCTCGAGTCTCTACAGAGCTCATTATTTGAATTTACAATTATCCTCATAAGGGCTTGCTCGCTGCTACTCATCCACAGGCTTATTTAAGCCTTTCGATATCCCCTCCCATTTATGAGGATCGCATTTTTGTCCTCTCTTTCAAACAATGCAGGCCTCTGAGCTTTATTCACCCCTATGCCGACCACCTGCCGAATCAGAGAAGGCGTTGGCCGCCATGTTAAAACCAGCAGACATAGCGAACGCCGTAATCTACGCTCTGTCTCAGCCAGAAGGGGTGTCAATCAACGAGATTCTCGTACAACCCACCGGACAGCCGTGCTGAATTTTTTTCGTGACTTCCATTCACTTATCTTCTTAACTTTTTCTTTGCCCCTCACTTGCCTTGAAAAAGCATAACATTTTTGCCACACGGTCGTTTATTATTATTTTTGACAAGCGTCTGACTAGGTTTTTTAAGATGGAGGAGATACCCTCTCGTATGCATGTCATATTACGGCACTATCATGACCGCCGTTTTTATGAAATCACTTTCTTCCACTTTGATTTTTCTTATGCTCCTGGATCAAGACATTATCCCCACCTCGTCCGATTTAATCCTTAATCGTCGTACTCTGGACGTGAGTCCCCCTAGGCATTATTCTCTGTGTTGCCTGATTATGTGCCTGATTTTATATTTGGCGGTCGAGTAGGAACAGTGGAGCCAATGCTCTACATCTGCCCGAGACTTCATAAATTATTGAAATGGTCTTTTACTCAAAGGTTCGACAGAACTGGAAGTTATACATTTATAATGGGATCTTTTGCTTGTAAACTACCAGACAAATAGATACGGCGAAGAGTACAAAACAATATCACATAGGACGGGGGATATTTGATCTCAGAGGCAATAGATAAGACAACCATACCGAGGAATATTGTTCTACTTAAACCTTGAGTAAAACTTCTGCACGCATCACTGTGAAGATGGTAGTTGTTAGAGTTCTGTGTACTATCAAATTTAGCATTAGCCAAGCCGGTGCCTACGGGAGAAGTTAAGAGATTCAACTTTATATGCGCTCGTGGCACATTAGAAGAATATGGCCCAATCTGACCGTGGCGAATTTAAATCACGTGCATTCTGTAGTCGTATGGGCAAAGGTACAAGTAGTATTGCCTGTGGGGGCCGAAACACGTTTTTTTATAAACCGACGCAAAGCCACGGGCGTAATCGACGCTTCCTTCTAATTGAGAACCCAAAAAGAACTCGCTTGCGCGGATGTTCTTTGCGGTTCTGATAGACGATAATTGCTAATTCAAGCCCAATAAATGATATCTAAAGGAGCCAATGTGCTGCCCTAAGGATTGACTGCGCTTGAAGACTGATGTAGGTAGACAGGGGCATCCTGCCAAGAAACAACACACATTGAATCCTCGTTATTTTATACGGACCTGATTTGTCGGCCGGTCTTCGGCACAATCTCAAGGCTCAGTCTAGTCCGAAAGTTTTCGGCGAACAGACAGCAGTGGAAGACGACCAGTCATCGTGCCGCGGATCTACGCTTCAGAGTCGATTGAGTCGACCATTTTGTATGCGTCACAAGTAAAAGTAGGCTCGAACACAAAGCAGCAAGGCTGCCAGGAGACGCTCGACCGGCGGGCATTTCTTCCACATAAAAGTAACGCTTTTGTTGGTTCTCCCAGAACGTGCATACCGATTGTAGCCTGAAATAGTTTTGTCTGGCCCTTGAATTCTATCTGATTACCCGTTGTTAACTAAAACTGGGTACCACACGGAATAGCGAAGGCAAATTTGACCTTTCCCATCAGTAAAGTCCACAGAAAAATTTGTTCGATCGGACACAGTAAGTGAAAGGGTTTAGTGCCTTTCTGGAAAGAAGCTTTGCGTAAAAGACTGTCAAGGTTGGATATAAGTGCTCTTCTGCTAGCGCAGACGACTCGAAATTATCCTGTTAGGTAAGTACAGCGTAAGCTGTCAAATATTTCGACAGTCCATATATGTGGAGGTCTTGTATTCTTTAAAATATAGTCACCCCTAAAGTGCTAGGCAAACTAGTATGTGGAGGAAAGTTACAACTGGCAAACAACCCGTTTCTTAGATGACTTCCAGGATACCGGTATCGTGCAAGGTAAGAATATACCAGCTGTTAAAACACCGCCATTAGATCTGAGACATAGTATCCATAGGCGTTTCTGGCTGTTTGTATAGGAAATCGCCGTGTAACTCTTGGTTTGATATAGACTCCGGCTCGATAAAGTACTCTACTTAATATTCGACATCGGCCAGCGTTTATTGAACTTCAGCATATCTTACATTGGGACAAACCTCCGATCTCCTGTCAACTACACGGAACTTTATCATCAAAGGCGCAAATTTCCACTCCTGTGATGAGATGCGCAAGGACCGGAAGTGGTGAGGCAGAGTCTGCGGCTGCAAAGGGGTGCAAGGCTGCCGATTGTTTGGCTATATACAGCATCTGGAAAGTCGTTTAACCGGCAAGATGGGGAATTTGCGTCCCAGCCCATCCGTGCGTTTCACTCCCATCCTCCACTAGTCTGAACGAGTAATTGCGTAGCAAGACATGTCTTTCATTTTGCGCTTTTCCTCCTCAGGCACATGTTTCCAATTATTTCTGCACTGTTTATTTCTGCAGCCTTCCCGTCCATCTTTGGTGGAGGGCTACTTCATGCTTTCACGATAGTGTAACGATCAGGCATCTGGATGAGTGTTTAACATGTGGTTTGTACCGATAAACTACACGGGTTGTTTAGTGTGGACGGATTCTTTTATTATTTTGCCCAAATGAAGGACGTAATTAACGTGTCATTCGTTGGCTAACGGACGCCGGCCCAGTAGCCTAGGGTAGCCGACGGGACCTTATAAATTACAAGAAAAGCTCAGTTGGGGCCTGCATGATGTTTGGGATCAACAACATGTACGAGAATGACGCTGTCTATAATCATAATTTTGCCTTTTTCCAACCATTCCGAGAGGTGTTAAATAAGGTTGGTAAAGAATAGTATTTGAACCCTCACTGCTGGGAAGGTTCATGAGACAGCTTGACCAAGGCGTCTTAGGGGTTTATTCGCAGCGTCCCCTGAAAGGAGACTCCGAGGAACAGAGTTTTCTCTTCGGCAGTCAGTGTGATAAGTTCTTTCGGTCGCTCAAGATACCCGTTCTCGCGAAGCAGGTCCTGGATCATTCCAAACTTTTCCCCGATGCTATTTGCAGAACAACTTTTTCTGACTGCGCTAAACGCCGGACTAGAGTTCGTTCCTGCTGGAGGGGCATGAAACTGCCGAAGTTCGTGTATTGTCCAAACCAGCTTTTCTTCCGTTAGAAACCCCTCCGCACGCTACCACCAGGCCTTCTGTTTAGAAGGTCATCCAGGAAAGGGAGCAAACCAGCCGTTTCCACCTCCAACGTGAACATAATCGAGAGATGTGCTTGATTTAGCGCATTTAGGAGGGCGTCTACGTCGGTTTCTGTAGTGACAACTGCGAAGATGTAATCAACGTAGCGACTATAATGTTTAAGCTTATTGGTCTGGTAGCTAGTTGAGATTGCTGTAGTTTGTCCATAGGGACATCGGCTAGGAGAGGTCTAAGAGGCGGGCGCATATCAACGCCGTCTATTTATGTATAGAGTTTATTTTCCCAGGAAAATGTACATTTAATGTGCATCTTGATAGTAGTTCCTTGAGTTTGTTCGTCAGAATCCCTATTTCCTGCTATTTGGTTGAGAGGAATTCGCAGATATAATAAACTGTCTCGGTAACCGGGCGTTTTTAAAAGGCGATGAGACGTCTAGCGAGGACATCACCATGCGGTTAAGGTTAAGATCTTTGACGTATTCAGTGAATTTGAAGGTATCTCAATAGCTACGTTGTGCTAGCTGATGCTGTACGGGCTTGGATCTCCGCTAACTACCCTATCACGTGGTACGGAGAGTTCACCATATCCAAAATCGGACAAACTGGCAGGCCGTCCTTATGGACCTTAGATAAGCCATACAGTTGACGGATATGTGTCCCGACTGATCGGAGGTGTTCGAGGTTACGATCACATGAAACCCCCTGTGTGGAGCCTTCTTAAGTAGTCGGTCAGTTTTGTCTCTATTTCGTCCGTACAACCTTTTTCCTTGTCTATCTTCCTGGTTTTTCTGATCTATAGGTATGAACTATATCTTTCTTGCATAGTCCAATCGGCTCATTAGAACGATGCCTGTTCCTTTACCCGCCCTAGTCACCGAGATGTCTTTGTTCTCTCAAAGCTCTATTAACTTCTTCACGCTTCCTTTTCTCAGCGATTCACGATCTTTTAGTCCCTTGTTGAGGTACTGATAACTCCAATTTACCAGGGTTGATTTAAAGTGTTTGGATACTGTCTGCGAAAGCGGGCAATAGATCTTAGGTTTGGTTGCAGGCATTCTCGTATTCAGTTTCTTATTCTAACTTATTAATTTTTCGACGAGGAATGTGGAACCTAGGGCCAAAGGATAATGCTTCAAGTGATGTTTTATCAAGTTTCATATAAGAGTGGCTGTGTGCGTACCGACCTGTGTCTTTGAGAGGTCATACGCGTGGTTTTATTTCCTCCAAACATTTAAGTGTTTTCTCCCTATGGACTGAGTGTGGCTGTCGAATTCTTGTTTTTCATCCCCCGTCAGGGTGTCGAGTACGGCTGCACGTTGACAAACGTGACCCTCAGGTTCTATCTTTACGAGTGTACTTTCCAGTTGATTTTCGGCGTATCTTTTCAGGATTACGGTGGTAAGCATCGTACGGCTACGCCGCGGCGCTCTCCAGTAGTGCTTTGGATACTCGTTTCAGTCGATACGGTCCCCGATAAAACTGACTAGTACTTTCGCTTCCACAAGCTTAGTGTTGAGAAGTAGGCACCCACTGAGGGCCATTAGGAAAGATGGACGCACTTCTTTGAATGCTGTACCCAATTTTTTGTAATGGAACGTGATTACTGTTGGTTGAACGTAGTCGACGATTATGGGGGTTTAAAAGTCAATCAGTTGCGAGACAGGACTTTCATGGATTTTATATTGGTGTAAAAACGTCCACCTGAGCTTATCTTCCGAAATCTTTTACAATCTGGGCGAGCAGTGCGCACATTGAGCAAAGTTTGACCGACCAACAGGCCCTCAAATTATATCTAAAGGTATTCATTTTGAAAGTGCAGGGCATATATACTAGGCCTACGCCTACCAAGTTTGTTAATTTAGTGAAGTCGTCAGCTTGCGTAGGACATGTCTATTTAAATTTTCAGCTGAAATGAAATGATCATGGTGACGCGTCTCAAAGGAAATCACCT